CACATTGAAGGCAAAGGTGAGGACCATTTGCGCCAAATTCCCTGACATAAACGTTGAGGGTGATTTTCAAAGAATACAAATGTTCGAGGATTTTAAGATAAATGTAAGGTGTGCCTCAGAAATAAAAGGGGTCAGAAATTGAGATACTTGTCACTCTTTCCATCTGAGAAATTTATTCTCAAACAATGGCCGCACTTCTGCAAGTCCCTTGTCAATACTTGAACAGTAAGGCTGTTTTTTCTTCGCTTTTACTCAATAATGGAAAATCCTGCAGCTTTCACAAACCGAATTCCAGTTCAAAGTCCAGTTTCAGCAGGTTCAGAATCAGAGCTGTGAAAGAAAAAACAGAGCAAATCAAGAATAACTCTTCCGCAGAGGAAGTCACACAGAAGTATGGACTTGAAGCTGGTCTTTGGAAGGTAAACAATTCCTTCTCTTCACTTAATTTCCGGGTTAGACAGTACTGAATCCACAGTTCATATTCAACTTGACAGATTTCTATGCTATACTTTTTGTGGGTTTCAACTATCTGATTCATTATCACTGTAGATTTTGTTGTAGCTGTGTTTTCAAAGTTTTTGTGCACCTAATTTGAATTTTTTGGGGGACAATAAGCAGATATTTTCTTCAAAGGGGGAAGGAAATGAAGAAAACAAAGAAAAGAAGTCAAAAGGAGACCAAGCTAAGGAGTTGCTAGCAAAATATGGGGGAGCATATTTAGCCACTTCCATCACTCTCTCCTTGATATCATTTGGGCTATGTTATGCTCTAATCACAGCTGGTGTAGATGTACAAACATTGCTTCAAAAGGTAACAGTACAACTTGTTGCTCTTATAGCATAATCTTATTGCAAGAATTAATGTTGAGCGAAACTGAATGACTTGGTTTTTGTGTATTACAGATTGGGATTTCCACTAATGAAACTGGAGAAAAAGTTGGGACTTTTGCATTGGCCTATGCTGCACACAAGGCTGCTTCTCCAATTAGATTTCCTCCCACTGTAGCTCTTACACCTATTGTTGCTAGTTGGATTGGAAAGAAAGTTGATAAAGAGAATTGATAGCGTAATTGTATTGAAATACTTGATCATGTAATGTCACAATTTTGTTGCCAAAACAGCTTCTGTTGATTAATATTAGGAATCATCCCCAGAGGGACAAAGAAGTTACTGTCTCGACTGGGCTATCAGTAGCCAGTGCTTAATTCCTATATAGGTAGCCAAGAAGAAAAGTTCACGACTCGTGGACCTTTTAGCTCCACAGCATATCACCATTAGGTAATCACCCCTAGAATATAATTAAATTATAATCTAGACTAATATTTTACAGATGACTATCCATTTTTTATGATGAAATACTACATACAGAGCAACAAATTTAAAAATATACCGAGCTAAATTCTGGTAGAAGCTATTCATTTATATCTATTACAGACTGTACAAAGTACCCTCTGCATCTCCTTGCCAGCGCTGTTTTGACTTTCTGAAGAACACTCGGAAGGTAACCCAGGAAAATGAACATGTTAAGGCACTCTTTTGGAGTCTTGAGTTTCAATATCTTACAACGAGCAATAAGCTGAGTGTCTTTATTCAGGATCATAACTGTAATAACATTTAACTCCCTGAGGTACTGGCTACAGAAGGCATTGCAGTTGTACTAGGAACTGGAGTTTGGGGTCTTGGCACGCTGATATTAGCCATATCATAATCCTCATGAATGGTATCCAAGCTATTCCAGTCAACCTCGGCTATAGTATGGAGTCATGGAATGTGGTTACGCAGTCGAGAAGAGTATTTCACGAAAAAAATAAATAAATAAAAAATAAAGAAAGCTTAAACTAAATGAAGTTAGGATACATTCTGTCCTCCACATATCTGTGATGCTTATATCAGCATCTGACAGTAGCCAATAGTCAGCATCATTCTGCAAATACCAAAGCAGTGTTACATTTGGTTATTGACAAACCACTCTAGATTAAACAAGCATACTAAGTCTTCTGTAACAATTCAACAATCTTAGATGATGATTATGATTAGTTTTTACTGCAAGATTTTGTTGCTCTTGTAAGATGATGCGCTTGCTTTGAAGCAATCCTAGTGATGTCCTTAATTTTAATTTTCAAATCTTTGAATCCCTGATTATTTACCGAAAAAGATTTGTTTGTTCTCGTAGTGATGACTTACATCAACATCAGGCACAATCTTCATGATTCCACTCACAAAATCCTGTGATGTGTTCTTGTCTGAGCATAATCTTTGAGCTTCTACTCCTTGCAGATCAACTTCATTTCCTCTGCTCTCATTTGCTGGCATTGCAGAAGCATTCTCATCGGCACCTGACGTTGAAGGGATGCTTGCTTCCACTTCAGGCGCATTTATCTCCTCAAATTTTTCCTCAAATTGGCTAAATCAAATAACAGTCAGAAAAATCAAAGACATGTTAGATGTTCAGTGTTCTTTAGATGGAGATCTAGCCTTGATTTAGAAGTGCTAAGCAATAGTGAATGCAATTTGCCCGGGAAAAAAAGGAAGAGAAAAATGCATATGTAAAACACCTGACAAGGTAAACATCTATGGGTCCCATGGTGCTTCGAAGAACTATTCTGTACCTCCTCTGTGGATAATCAACGGCCTGTAGAGAGGGAATTTGCATGAATGAATATTACGTGCACAATTTTTTCAACAATATAATGACTCCAAGTTATTGGTGACTATGTCGAGAAAAAAAAGAAAATATTACCTCGTCAGGGTATGGAACTTCTAAAGTAGTGCCATGTGGAGCTTTAATTGCTATAAGAGTTTCATTCTGATAAAAACAACAAACCCATGTTTAGTATTAAATAGCCATTGAAAGCTGCAAGTTGAACTGATACCATATCTATTGGACCTGAAAGCAAGGTAAGCTCTTGATATCTTCTTCAGTGACAAAAAGCCACCTGTCAAATAGGAAAAACAAAAATGTTAGTTAGCCACCTGAAATTTAAATTAATTAGTTGACTAAAAACGCAGAGGGTTACTTTTGATTGATTTCGTCTTCACTAAAGCTCCTCAACTTTTCTTGCATTTCTCTGGAAACAAGAAACATGAATGAAAAAGTCGTGTAATCATGATTGCTTCAGGGAAAGTACATTTCTTTTCATGGAATGATAGATGTTTCCAATTATGACCTTATTCGTTTATCGAATTTGTGCTCCTCCATATTCAAGTTTTCTACTTCAGCCTGAGACAAGCAAAGATTTGATGAGGACTAATCTAACACACGACAAGAATCTAAATGATGCTCAGTTCCCTTTGGCTTTCAAAGTTTATAGCCCAGTTATGTGCATTACGAAGGATGCATCCACTGCCAAATGGAATGGATGCATAATGAAGTATGTAGAACAAAATAAATGAATGAAAAATTCAACCTAAAAGATGTTTCTTGCAGTAAGCCATGAGTCTTATCGTAATTGATCCTGGCTGTCCCATCTACTAATGTAGAAGAGCTCCACTTGGGTCATTTGAACTCAGACAGCATGGATGGGACAAATTAAGTTGTATATTTATAACAAACAGGAAGAATGAAACAACAGTATACAGAGAGCATAACATGCAGCAAAGTAGAATCAAGAAATAATTATCATCATCCACAAAAGCAAACTCAGCCCTATTCCAATAATTTGGAAATGGCTCTGGGTCACATTAATTTTGGTCTACTCCTCTCTTCAAAAATATTCTACTAGGATTGCATCAATCTTGTCAAGAGGATCATCTTTATACAAGACACATCCAACCATTAACTTGTCCTGAATTAAATAAAGAGAGAGGAAGCACATGCGAAAGGACATGCATTCCAGTCAGACTAAAACTAACCGCAAGTCAACCAATGTGGAAACATCAAGAACCAATTTATTTATTTTATGCTCATACCTGTAAGCTGTTAAGACTCGCATCAACTTCCCCTGGTCTTGAGACATCCGCACCCCTATTTCATAATTGTACCCATCAGAAACTTCTCATTTTCTTATCAATTCTTAAGGAAAGTAAAAACTAATTGGAAAATAAACTTCTATAAAATTTAAATACTATAAGATTACTTCCATACTTCCACTGAATTCTGTTTTTGAGTTTCTTTTCTATAAGACCAATGCCTTCGAGAACGTTTGTTATATCATATATACGCCTCTTCTGCACCTGTTGAAACAAAAACTTTCAGCCACTTGGACTTAGTCGAAAGTGAAGAATTACTTGAAAGATATAATTACCTCCAATGTATCGGCAGCTTTATTTAAATCAAGAATACCATCTTCTGCGTGTTTGATAAGGTTAATGAACTTCTTTGTTAAGAGACCTGAGCAAGTAAAATAACACACTACTATAAGTAGTTCTCAAAATATGAAAGAACCAACCAAAGAAGTTAAAATTTTACTAGTTTATTACATGATTCAAAATCTTGCAGTGGGAGGGAGAGAGAGAATTTATAAAACAGAACGAGCATAATTAATTACCAAGGGAGCTATCGTAACGACAAGGGCCCAGTGGAGTGAGATTATTCCCTGAGGAGGAACCTGCAGGGTAAACATTTATCAAATTTCCATAAACTGATACTACTGTGACTAGCACAACATTAACTGATACTACAGTGACTAACACAAATTAAAAGTTTAGCATAATAATTCTCACCAATATTTGTCACGGGAATTTGAGATCTGGCTTTATTAGCCTTTATCCTTGGAACTTTTTGGGCCTTTCCCCTTCTACCTGACACAGGTGTCTGAAGCGAGGCATTGAGGACACCAGTAGAGCCAGGACCTATGTTCTGCTCCACGAATTCTGCTTCACAGTCTCCCATTGTATTCTTCCGCTTCAGTGGCTAGGGACACAAAAATAAACAAGTCTCAATTAGCAACATGTTTAAAATTTAACTGATCAATTAATCTCAAGTAAAATGAAGTGTCTCAGAAGAATAAAAAATAAGCTGGAAATACAATAAACATGACTTGATTTTTATTATGAACCAAATACATCCAAGATAACCATGCTGGGCAAGAATAAGAAAGCATTTATGATGTTTTTCAAATACAGAAGCTGAAAGATAAAAACTTTAGCATCACTTTAAGACACATTTATCATAAAAGAAACCAAGTTACAAGATAATAAAGAAAATGCAATCACCACATCCACACAAGGCAATTGGATATTAAGATATCAGACTCGTAGGTTTCCACCAGAAATGTCTTGTGAATGCTCACGAGAAGCTACTAATAAAATTGGAAACCTGCATGTAGTGACACACTAAGCTGTCACACAGTAGACAAATTTAATAAGATAAAGTCGCCAACCCACAAAGGCACATAGAATAAGCTCCAATTCTCCATTTCAAGATAGATTATACTCTGTGAAAGATCAAACACACTGTACTTGATAAAGATGGCAGAAAGAGCTCATCAACTCTTTCAACGCTCTATACAATAAACAGGAAGAGCCAGCCTCCAATACAC